CCTCACCTTCTCCACACATGATCTTGTTCGCCAGTGAGTATCTCATTGATATTCAAGTATTGGTTTGTAGGGATTTGGTTGATTGGTTACAGGATTTAATCATGAGCTGGCACTGGAACACCAGTGGGTAGTTTCCTGGGGTTCCAGTGGGAAGTCGTGACCAGTAGGGTGCAGCAGGTCGGGTGTGAGGACAAATACTTGCCGAAGACATTGGCTAGCGGTTGCGCTATATCGTGAATTGGCAGAAGTTAGAATTCATGGACTGGCCATTGGATCGGGTCCCAGTGGCTTAATGGTATACGAGCTCGCCTTGTAACCAGAAGGTCCTTGGTTCGAATCGTGGTGGGTGCGTACTGATGAGGAGCTTCAAACTAGGGTGAAACAGCTGTCCAGTACTCCCTGCGAGTCTTCCAATGGTTCCCCAACTGGTGTCAGCTCATGATGAAATCCTCCAACCAATAAAATTCTCAGTATATTATTATTCTCTTAGGTTCAGAGTGGAACATAGAGCTTCAACATCATATCTTTATTTCATCTTCCTCTCTACAGTCTTCTTAAGCTAGCCGCACAGCTGTCTATAGACTGTCATCTCCTCCTCACATGGCCTCCGGCATGTCATGATTCTGCCTAGATAAGTGAAGGAAATGACTTCCTTCAGATTTATTCCATTAACACTGCCTGTTGCTGTTGTTAGTTGGTTCATTGTCTTCATCATCTCTGTCTTCGTTAAGTTCACTTGAAATCCTGTCTTTTTAATGCCAGCCTCCTAGACAAACTGTTGGTTCTCTCTTGTAGATCTTTGAGTTTGTATGACAATAAACACAAATCATCCGTGAAGCCCAGATTTTCTAATGTCTTCTCATCGGTCCAACGTATTCCTTTCTCCTGGCCTATCATACACAGTCTTCTTTATTATCAATTCCACTGTAGTTAGGAATTTCACCGTTGATAGTAACCAGTCTTATTTTACTCCTATCTCCCCTTCAAAGACTTCAAGGACTGAGTTTTCCGTTGTGGATCACCTGACATATAGCATCATCAACATTTAGCTGTTGAATGAAGTTCATAAGGATTTTTGCCACTCTGTAGTGTTGAAGTAGTTTCCAAATTACTTCACCGTCAACGCTATCGAAGGTCTTATCAAAGTCGGTGAGGCTGAGCTAGAGATTTGACTGTCATTCTATGTTAGTTTGTTTATTTGATATATCACACAGTGAAACAGTATTATTTACTGGATCCAGTAAATAATACTGTTTCACTGTGTGATTCATCTGATATACAAACTAATATGGAATTACTTACTACCACAGTGCCCAAGTTTTACACATATATTGTCATTCTATGTTCTGTTTATTGATGATGATGATGCGTAGTCTTGAAATTTACCCAGGAATTTCGTTGACAAACAAATAAATAGAAAATTGAATACCATTCACTTCTGATCACATTTCATTGCAGATATATCAAGGTTTTGTTGATATTTTTCATGACAGATTTTAAACTTTGTACCTTATTGATTTTTACAGCATTTATCTTCTCAGTAAATGATTCTATAAGAATGCTATAGAATTCCAGTAAGCATGGTACTTAGGTGAACTTTCAATCAATAAACAAATCGATAAAGATCAGATTTATCAAACAATACCACAAAGTCACATGGAGAAAAACTCAGCAATATAATCAGCACTTATAAAAGTGGACAAGATAACGAGAGAATTTCCAGAAGCAGTCAGTCGCTTTCACTTTCATCAAGAGAGATGAGTGTACAACTTATGGAGAATTATGTCAAGTGGCAAAATAATTAATGTCGTATATAGAATAATACATAAGGTGTATAGATTTTTTTGGAAAGGGGTACATAATTATAGGATTAGTAGACGAATATAAAATGTTACATAACATGGTGTGAAATTTGATAAGATAGAATTCAATATTGTAAAAATAAAAATATAAAAATCAATAATTTTGGGTTTAAAATGATGATACGTTTAAATTTATTGATAGCATTAAATTTTCTATAGTTTGGTTTGTAAGGATTAGTTATGTTTTACGAGTTGATCATGGATTGATATCAGTTAGAGAACCATTGAAAACCAGGGAGTACTGGACAGCTGCTGTTTCATCCTAGTTTGGGAATCATCGGCAGTACGCACCCACCACAGTGGGGTTCGAACCCAGGACCTTCCGGTTACAAGGCAAGCTCGTATACCATTCAGCCACTGGGACCCGATTCAATGGCTCATGAATTCTAACTTCTACCAATTCAGCAGCTGTCCAGTACTCCCTGGTTTTCAATGGTTCTCTAACTGATATCAGTCCGTGATCAACTCGTAAAAGATAGCATTAAAGATTTCAATGTCTCAGGCAAAATCTTGTTCTCATTAGATGTGACGTCGCTATTTAACAATGTTCCTCTCATGGAAACTGTTTGCTACTTATGTGATACACACATAGTTTATAAATACGACTGCCGACAATCTATCTCAAGGGAGAAAGGAAGTGTGTGCGTAGCTCTATTTTGGAACACCTGATCGACTTTTGTCACTCTGTCAACCCTGACCATGACTTTAAGATCATTTATAGAATCCCATGCTAACTTGCCAGCCGCGTTTTCTTCGTTACAGACTTCTAAAGACAGCTGAGGCCTTGGCAATTCATGACTTTAAGCCAGACCTTTGTGTACAAAAGAAGTATGTACAATCCCTACTTCTGCCTTGGCCGTAGAGGGATAGACATTTATTTATTTTATTTTGTTTATTTAGTTATTCTATGTACTTTTCCCTTATTACTACGATTATTATTAATATTCTCACTCTGAATCTTTTCCACTTGACCCACTTGACATTTTAAACCCAAAATTATTAATTTTTATATTTTTATTTTTACAATATTGAATTCTATCTTATCAAATTTCACACCATGTTATGTAACATTTTATATTCGTCTACTAATCTTATAATTACGTATCCCTTTTCAAAAAAATCTATACACTTTATGTATTATTCTATATACGACATTAATTATTTTGCCACTTGACATTAAACTATGATTATAATCACAAATATTTTAATTGCATTTCATACTACTATTATTATTTCTATGTATTCACACCTTTGACCTAATTCCCTCACCGGATATAATTTCTTAAAAAAAAACCCATATATATACGATTGTACAGCTTGATAATAAATTCGTTGAAAAGAGTCTCTTCGCTGAATATTGTGTTCTTAATGCTACAACGGGAATTATTAAATTATGGAGAATTTCCAAAACTTTCACTTCGTTTTGAATTTATGCCTGAAGATTAATGAAAGCTTCACAGTTAAACTAACAGTAGAGAACTTTAATTCACTTAAATCACTCAGTTGCCTGAATTTTCATCCAGCTAGAATGCACCAGCTTTTCTGCATTCAAGTATATTGATGAGTGATATGTACTCAGACACACATGTTTAATTAGCCTTCAACCTGTTGCTATACATTTCTCAGAGTTGATGAAGGAAACATTTTGTGCAGGGGTGGGATAAGATGATGCTTCAGGCTGCAAAAATAATTCGTAACACGACATACTATCGATTTTAATTTTTTTCGAAAGATTTCGTGTTGCACTATGTCCAACTTCGCAGTTATGAAATTCAAACAACTATTTGCAACCTACATAGCTGGATGTGTGTGTGTGTGTGCGTGTGCACGCGTGTGTGAAATTTCAACACTATTTCCACTGGAAGTCGAAATAATTCAGATCACCACAAATTGTTTTTTTATTCCTTCACGTTCCCAGTGGAATATAGGGCGCCTTCAAGCTAGAGGCTTGAAGTTTCTATCTATATCAGTGTTTACTTTTACAGGATGGGGTAGCTAGCCTCATACCCAACCTTCCCTCTTTACCAGCTTTATTACTGGCTTAGCGAGGTAAAGGAGTGCGTCATCATAAAGAGCAGTCAAGAAAGCAAGCATAACTGCATGAAAAACTACATACTACTGATTAATTGAGATGAGTAGTTGGATATCAATCACATTAACCGGTACTACTTGATGGTTAGTCAGATCGACTTACGTTCAGACCTGCCTTTTCGTCGAATCCCTTGAAAACTACTTGAAATGTAACAACAGAAGACAGCTCTAAACACACTCGTCCCCATCCCATCAAAGACTTTCGACTGAAGTTGATTCGGTTTTCTTGGCTCTGGTGGCTTCATTCGTTTTTCTAGCTGTCTGGAATTCCGGTGGCCGCTGTTTACATTTGCGATCGTACCTACGTGACCCCGTCTCACAGTGACGGTGTGTGTGTTCCTTCCCACTTTGGAATCTGTTTGCCTGACCCTGGTGCACATTCATTGGTGTTTCACGTCACACTTTCACATGCTGCTTTTACCCGACCTCGCAGCAGGGTTCCAAGTGACTGCCTCATCGCTGACGGATCTTGAACGCCACTCAACTGCGCAACAGTCTCGAAGTCCTGCCCAAAGATACATATGTTTCCATCAAAAACTGCAGGGCATAGGCTTTCCATTTGTTGGCAGGCAGCAACACCAAATGTAACGCAGAAGACAAGGGCCAGGCAACAGATCGTTTATTGAGGAAATCAAGAGATATTTACAGATTTCTATGTACATTATTATTCGTTATTACGAGCAGAGAAACAGCGTCTTCCGATTAGTTGTTTCCTCGCTGAAAGTTAATCTGTCATCGCTTTGTGGCCGTTTCCTTGAAGGTCAGGCCATATATCTGCGAATAGTATCCGCCCACGCTAAGTCTGCTGTATTTGGTTGTTGAGTTCCTTAAGGCTAGGCTTTGTTCTTGTTTCTTCTCATGACCTGGATTTGGGACGTAAACACTGACGTAAATCGCTCTCTACCAATGTCGGCTAGCAGACAGCTCTTACCACAGAAATCTTGGCAGACTGGTAATATATAGAAAGAATAATGATATTATTGTTATTATTTCTATTAATGTTTGTATTTCATTAAAACAAAAGATTATATATTTATCTATAGATATTTATATTCACAATTAATGCATAGCTGTACTTCTTGAAAATAAATATTTTCAGAAGAGCGTTGAAATTAACTCAAATATCTTCTAAAATTCAAATATACCTCGCTTGACAGAATTAAACAAAATCCATTTATTCAATGTCCAAGAGGTATATATGTGTATATATATTGTAGAAATAAAGGCTTTTATTAAGAATAATGATAGAAAAAAAAATTAGATTCGATAGATGAAAGTAATTAGTATGATATAAATTTATTTAATTTATCATAAATAATAGTAATTAAAACAGTATTGATAATAAAATTATTATTATTATTACCGTTATTAATATATTCATGATAATAACAGTTATAATTGTAGAAAATAAAAAATATATCGTATAAAGTGAAATGATATGTATATGCGATATATATAAATATTAACTGGTTGGCAGTGTGTTTCATGTAGTTTTTTATTTTTTATATAAAATCAACTTCACTGTCTAACTTAGAATAAGCATGTACAATTTTCACATTTTTACGTGTTTTTGCACGATCCTCTTCTGTGGTACTTTTCAGATACTTGTCAACATTGTCTGGTTCAGTAGATTCATGAGATATAGCGTAGACAATTGATATATGCTTTTTCCCTGCAGTAAATTTATTATCATTGTTATTCATATCATTATCATATCCATGATGTTCACCGTTATTATTATGATTTGTATGATTAGCACTACTGTTGAGATAATCGTCCAGGGCTTTGATTTCAGCCGCCGCGATCTCTTTAGCCTTATCGTTTATATCATTCTCATGATGGTTGTTGATTTTACTGGTGGAATTTAAATCTTCTCGGATATCTTTTAATACTGAACTGCTATGATCCGACAGGTGTTTATCATTCTCGATTTTGTTATTTGCATGAATATTATTACCTATAGTAGTAGTAGTAGCAGTAGTAGTATTAATATTGCTATCACTATTATTATCATTAATACTGCTCTCCTTTAAACTGAATCTGTGTGCAGTAGATGGGGAGTCGGGAGTTTTTTTAGGCAATGTTTCTTTTTTCTCTGGATCAACTGATAGACGTCGAAACATTTGATTCAGTGGATTCTGCGGTGTTATTGAATCACGTTTGGATAGATCTCGTTTGATGTCAAGTTTTATCTCTGATTGATTTGGTGCTTCTAAATCAGCTGATTGGTAGATTTTTTTCAAATCTTCAATTAATAGGTCTTCTGTATATCCAGAGGTATGCGCGAATAGTTCATCTCTTAATTCTTTTGGAGTTTTTAGCTCAGTTAGTGATTCTATGGTAGACTAGAAAAAAGTGAGCAAAGAAAGAGGTGATGATGAAAAAGACTAAATAATAATTGGATAGATAAATTATGCAAGTATTAATGCGGTGTCACACTATTGTTATTAGTATTGCCTCCTTTAGTTCCTAAAGGAACATAGGGCTTCAGCTGCACGTCTCCATTACATTCAGTTCTCCGCTAACATTTTCATCTAGCTCCACGTCTGCCCACATGCTTTCATCTCCTCTTCGCATCATCTTCTCCTCCATATCACCCTCGCACTGACGACTAACTCGCTACTTCCGAATTCGGGTTCCACTCGAGCAATGGCCTGGAGTGTGATGGATGTCACTTGATGGTTTGTTTTCTCAGAGTATGGCCTATCAACCTCAATTTCTTCTTTCAGTGTCGGATTACTGTTCAGAGAAGAGGCCCTATTTGGCGAATTCATCTTATTCTTACGAAGTGTAATCTCACTTTTATACAATTTTTCATAAGGAAAGGTAGTAGCAAAAGTGATCAGTTGTCACAAGCAGAGTTGTTCATACCAACCAGTGCATAAGAGGAGTTGAATAAGTGTATGATAGTTACGTAATAATGTGAATAGTTTAATAAATGAGTTGTAATCAGGATGAAAGGACATAGAAATGAAGGAAAATGTGGAGTTATTCAAGAGTCCTAGAGAAATACAAGAGTTATGAGGAGTTAGAAAAACAAATAGACGAAGTTGGTGCCAAGATAGTAGGGGTGGTTGAATAATTTTCTTTTGCATACATAGCCTCGATTTCTTTATCTGAATGGTTAAAGCTTCAGCAATGCGCGAAGGAGACGAAATTGTGTTACTTTTGGCAAATTGTTCTTTTCTCTTTTTAGATTACTTTGAGGGAGACGTCTGTTGAGATGGAATGACCAGTGTTCAAGAGGTATTAGACTATCACACTCCTTATAGAGCCATCACCAACTTTGTGCAACCATATGGGATAGTGTTCATGAACCCTTTTAGACAGAGAGGCTACCAATTGAACAGCCAGTATATCTGTGTCTACAAGAAAAGCTGAATTGATGTATGCACATAGAAGTGGTAAGATGCGAGATCTTATCCTTCAGGCTTCCGCACACCAATGGACGACTGGAGAACACTACTATTAACTTTTCTGGGAAGAAGGTTCTTATCAGAGATGATAAAATTCTTCTCTTAAGGATATCATGGGTAAGATCCCCATGAAATCAAAGCTCATGTAGAGTTTTCTTTCTGTTACTACCCTCTTTCATGAGAAAAATTTTACATAATTTATAGTGAGCGAGTTCACCGGAAACAGCCTCTTCGTTGAACTACGTGTTTTTTTCATTGACGTTTGTATAGGGACTATTCAGTTTAGTAAGATGTTCAGGTATCTTAAGTTTTATTTGAAATTTACAGGATAGTGATAAGTGGTTTCATAGATTTGTTGAAGAAGTGACGTCTTCGGCTAAATATTTTGTGTATCGCTTCTTCAGATTTTCATCAAATCAAGCAGAAGTCACTTAGTTAGTGAAAACTACTAGATGGATATTACTCTCTTCTAATGAATGTCTCAACAGCATAATGAATATATACATATACATTGCTTTAACTGAAGGAGAAGAAGCAGAGAAGACAGGACTTCAAGTAAACATAGATAAGAGATAGATAGTTGCGATACCCCGTCGCCACCACAACCACCAACAACAACAAGCACCAGTCACCATCAAGACGAAAAAATTGAAGACAGTTACGACTTTCTACTATGTAGGCAGCTTCATTTCAACTGCAGCAGGACCTCATGTATTAAGACGTCAATGCTGATCAAAATCAGAAAACAAAGACAAACCTTCATTACTGTAAAGTCTCAGTGGAAATCTCCTGTACTCAACATAAGGAACAAGTTTCCGATCTTTAACACCAATGTCAAGTCATTGATTCTATGTGGTATAGAGACTTGGCGCGTTACCAAGAACATTCCCAGCTGGCTACTGAGGACTTTTATCAACAGTTGCCTTCGCTTAATACTGGCAACGAGATGGCCGATTGGAAGAAAATATTCACCAATTAACTCCGGCTACGAATCAAATGAGAATATGTAGAGAGAAATACGGATGGGTCGGACATATGCTGGGGAAACCATTGAGTGAAAGATCTACGTGCAATAACCAGCAACTTGTCTAAAAAGGCACTGAAGAAAGCATATCAAGTGAATATACAGAAGATAGTAGTGAGGGAGATACTCGATCTACAATAAAAATTACCAATGACTATTAACGCGAGAAATGTAAAGAAAGTGGTCTCCTTCAATTACCTAGCTAGGCATCTGTGGGCGGCACAGATAAAGTTGATCTTCACCACTAATGTCAAGAAAGTCAGTGCTTCTGTATGCTTCAGAGACTTGGCTCGCGCTTTAACAAAAGTATTTCCATAAGTCGGCTGCAAACTTTTATTAATAGCTGCCTTTGCTGGCTACATACTGAAAATCAGGTGGCTAGGCGAAAAGGATACGCAACAAGCAACTCTGGAAACGAACTAAACAAGAGCAAATCGACCAAAAAATAGGCCACTGAAAGTGTAAATGGATCCGATACACGTTTAGAAGACCTTCGAGCGCCACCACATATCAGCCGCTCTAGTAGGAACCGAATAGGAAATGACGAGTTGGGCGTCTCTTCGAGGGCGAATTGGTGTAGATTTCGTAATGAGGAAATTAGTACTTATGAGTCACTGAGTCACTGAGTTTATATCAAATTTATGTAGTGTGGAATTATATTCTACAACAGTGCCCAAAACTCTACTCTTACATTAACTGTGAACCGGCTAATTGTATTATTATTCCCTTGGGTTCTGAGTGGAGCACAGGGCTTCAGCAAGGCATCTTCATTTTGTCCTGTTTTCTGTGGTCCTTCCCTAGTTTACTAGTTCTCTCTGCCAGCACGGAAAAAGGAGGCTCGTTTAGTAAGTGCCAACTTACACCATCTCTAGCGTAGATCTAATATCTAGCTGGTTATCGATAAAAGGGCGTGTGTACTGCTCAGCAGTTCGCTCTGCCCTCCTTGATGGCTGTAAGCTGGACATGGTCACTGAAAGTGGAAGACATGTAAATGTTGGCTAGTTGTCTTTGATCATGGGTGTCTTCGTTCTTTCTCCCGTGTTAAGTGGTATAATAGGGTAAGCAATATTGAGGTTAGGCATTGGTCGAGTGCTCAGTAAGGAGGGGAAATCAATCGACGAGGCTGTGAAGTTACACCGACTGAGATGGTTAGGACACGTATTACGCATGCCTAGCCACGGATCGCCTTCCTCGATAATGGGCAATGTTAGCTGAAATAGGGTGGATCAGGCTGGAAAAGCGCTAGTGGTGGTCAAACCAAAACATGGCTTCATCATTCAGTGAAATCCACAACAGTTAGTCTAAGGCAAGCAGTCACATTGGGAGTAGTAGACTGCCTGGGTGGTTGGGGTCCTCAGGATGGTAAAAACCAATGTCTATAGACAATAAGTCGCTCAAAATCGTTCTCAATGGCTGGCACAGATACATCCACTTTTTGTGATTTATATTACTCAATAAAATTTTGTTGTTCTTCCATATTATTATTCTTTTTTCCTCACTCAAACTTCTGCTTATTATCTTTCTTTTGAGTATATCTTTACTCTCTTCTGTCGCTTTGTGTGCTACATGGAGTGTAGCAACTGGAACTGATCACATATGAGCAAAGTTCCAAGTTGAAACCATTCAGTTAGTCAGTTTTCTAGCCAGTCCCAAGCCAGTGTAAAGCTGGAAGGTTGGGCATGGAACCAGCGACTCCACTCCAGAAAATCAATCCAATCACTAGAGAAACTTCAAACCATGGCAAAATAAAACCCAGTGTTGATATATTAATATTCAGTAGCAAGTTAACGTCATAATAGAGTTTTCAATGGAATTCTAACTATCAAAGCATACACGATATTTTCATAATATGAAATCACAATCACAGAAAGTTTACAACAACACACAACTGAGTATATTACAGAAGTCAATTTTCCACTTTATTTGATAAACTTTAGAGATAGTGAACTGGCTTTGTAGTAAATTCTACTATAGATTAGAACTAACTAGGAGGTTATTCACTTCAAAGTGATGTGAATCTATGTATTATACATTGTCGAAGAGACGCTCCGATCAAGTGAGCTATGAATCATCTAGTGCATTAAAATCTGAATGTTGTACAGTTTAAAAGTCCCTTCACCTTTCAGTTGATCAAGAAGAAGTGACTGCCTAGTGGTTTCCAGTTTAGTTGTCCTCTTCTTAGACATATCTTCATCCTAACCGACTGAACGGTATCATTATAGAACTTTGCACAGATGTGCAACACTTCAACTTTCCGAACTCCATACAGCACACAAAGGATGAGCAAAAAGAGACTCAAAAGAACAAATGTCTGAAAGAAAGAACAGTAACACGTGAAAACAATAGGGTTTAATGCATATATGAGATCGTAGAGAGTGAATTCATCTGAGCCACTGAGAACGATTTCAACACATACCACTAATTGTCTCCAGCCATTGGTATATAGAGTCCCGAGGATCCCAACCAACCAGGCTACACCTCTTTACAGGGCTTAAACTAGCTGTTAAAGATTTTATGGACTAATCAGGAGTTTTGGTTTGACCACCAATATCTCTTTGCCATGTAATCCTATGTCACCTGACATTTATCGGTAGGGAAAGCGATGCATAGGCATGTATAATACAGATCCTATTCCACTCAGTCGACGTAGCTTCATCTTAAGACATGTGCATTATGTGATTTTATTTGTAGGTGGAACATAACTGTCGCTTCTATGCTCTTATGCAGTGCCTACCTATTAGAAGGAAGGCTGACTATCTTGTCAAGCTACCAAAGAAGGACGTCTTTGGCCTCTAAGAAAACTAGTGTGGAATCAAGCTCTTACCCACACCATGTAAAATACTAAGTCGCACCATCTTTGAGAGAATAAAAGATGCACTGGATACAGAACTCCGCCAGCCCAAAAGGAACAAGCTGGATTCGGGAAAGGCTAATCATGTGATGATCAAATTGCAACTCTACGCATCATCATCACAGAACAAAGCAGAGAATAGCAGTCAAACCCCACTCTACTTCAACTTCATTGACTTCGAAAAGGCCTTCGACAGACAGCATTGACTGAGAAGTAATTTAGAAACTGTATCAGCACGAAGGCGTGCAGTGCCTGAGTCTGCATCAACCTCATTCAACAGCTGGCTATATGACAATGCCTGCCACGTGCCAGGTGATCCACAACGGAAAACTGACTCAGTGAGCTGTTTGAAGTGAATAAAGGAGTAAGACAAGACTGGTTGGCTGTAGTTATCACCCATGATGGTATTCTTCATTGTGGTGGACTAGATTATGCGTCAGGCTGCATTGGGAATAAAAAAGACAGGAATGCACTGGACTGACTGATAAGAAGACTCCATCTGAAAAATTTGGATTCCCCTTGGGGATGATTTATGTCTAATGTCATTCACACAAACTCGAAGACTTAGAGACAGGCGAAAACCAACAAATTGGCAAAAGAATCAGGCTAGCAGTGGAGACAGGACTTCGGATGAAGATAGAGAAGATGGAGGTGATGAAGATAATCAACCAAAATCAACAGCAGTAGCCACAACAACTAGCACCAATCACCATCAACGGGAGAGATTTGACAAAAGTTACTTCCTTCACTTTTCTAGCTAGGAATCATGGTTTCAACCCCAGGCCCTCAGCACGGATGAAGATGTCTAAGTTAGCCAGAATCGGAAAGTCAAGATACGCCCTCATCAACCTGAAACCAGTTTGGAAATCTTCTGCTTCACTCAGCTAGCCAGCATAAACAACAAGATTCGGATGTGAAGTCAGTCAGTTAGTCAGCCCTTCTATGCGAGTCAGAAACTGGCACTGCGCGTGAGTCACGGAAAGCATTTCCAACAAGTTTAAGACTTTTATCAACAGCTGCCACATTCGCTAGTTCCCTACTGGAGATCAAATGGCCGGCTGACTGGTCAGAAAGAATTAGTAACAAGAATCTTTGGCTGGGAACCAACAAATAAGTAGGAGAGGATGGAGATGGATTCATCGGGTATACGTTGAGGAGGTCATCGAATGATATCCCGCGTAATGCAGGCTATCACTCGAGTAGAATCCGAATGCGAAGCGACAAGTGGGTCGTTGGTGGAAGGGTGATATGGAGGAGGTAGTGTGAGGAGAAGGAGATGGGCGATTGTGGGGCTGGGCAGCTGAAGAGAACCGCAGAGAATAGAACAGAATGGAGATGTGTTGTTGAAGTCCTATGTTCAACTCGGAACTCAAGGGAGTAATAATAATAATAATAATAATGAATAACACTATGGTGTATAATCTTGATTTCAATTCTGTTCGAATACATTTCTGTAAAAACATTTAATATTAAATACATGAAATAAAATATTGTCAAATTTTATAAATGTAGCTTACATCAAACTCTTCAGTAAGATCTAGTCTTTCTCTAAGCTTCATAACAGCTTTACGAACAAGTCGCACTGGTAGTCCACTTAGAATGTAGAAATATGCGACGACAAAAATTGCAGACTGATGATTGTTTGAATCACTGAATAGAGAAAAATAAAAATAATATAAAAGATCTGATAACTAAGCTTTGAGACCACACACACATTCAATGATCAGTAGACAATAAGCAATCATCTCATCATGTTTCAAGTCTGAAATGTGATCAGCCAAGCTAGTTGGCTGATCATTGGGATGATTAACTCGGTTCCAGCATAGAATTTTGCACCGAGGTGCATCACTTCAAGTTACTACCCTCCGTGTAGTAGAAGAAGGAAGACGAAAGAGTTAAACAAAGGGATTAAGAAGAATGATAACAAGGAAGAATATTAAAATGGAAAAACATTACTGGTTTTATTGGATATGGCTAATCACAAACGGAGTGAATGCGTCTACACCGCTGAGGATGATTTTGAACCATATCATCAGTACTCTCCAGCTACCGACTCTTAGCATTGCTAGGACTCTAACCGAACAATCTATACGATTTGAATTTCAGCGAATTATTACATAACAGGTAGATGAACAAAGTCCACAAAGTGATACTTTAGAAAAAGCTGTAATTAATCATAAAATAACCAAAAATACACTAGACGAAAATACAATCGAAATAAAAACTGACTGAACATTTTTCCACTACGTGCGTAAATCATGACCCTACAAATGCATAAATAAAGCGTCTAGAAATGCAAATAAATACTAGAGAATCACGTGATTGGAATGTTCCTACCAACTTTTAAATTAAAAATTTGAACAGAGGTATTTAGTGATGACTAGTAGAGCAAACTAGGACACCCCTCTCCTGCTAGGTCTCATTAGGTGCTGTGCCCGCGTCACCAATGAGTGGTGATTTTCCCATTCAAACTCAAACACTGCATCCATTGTTCAAATACTGAGGCGTTATCGACTAGCCTGGTGGGGTGTGAGAGCTTCCTCTTGTGCAGTAAGTATCACAATTGTTATTTGTGAAAAATATTTTCGATTCCCTGTTCCCCGATTATATATTGGGTTGAAAGGCTCAATCCCTGTTCATGTGTTCCTTCGTTTGACGGTGTCTTGAGGTAAAACTTGATATCACCGTCTTTTTACTTAGAATAAGTTTTCCATTGAGAATAAGCAACCGTATCGAACCCACTATATCCTCTTTATAGCCACTATGAGGAATAATAGTTTCCAGTGGCTCTTTTGAACAAAACACACACTTAACCACCTATCTATCTCACTCCACACGAGTAAGTGAATAACTAGACACCTAAAAAAAATGGAACATATACGTTAGGTTATTTTTTTAGTTAGAAGAGAAGATAAGACAGTAGGAGAGTACTGATTTTAATATAGATGCGAAAAATGTTCTATCAAAGGTGATTGTTACTCACTCTCTTCCTATTTAGAGTGTAATGTGCATTCGAAGTTCTCGTTCGTGTATATCATCTTCGTTCTGTTTAGACATGGAATTTCCTTTACTAGCTTTGAATTTTATGTATTTCTCTATAAACAGTGAGTGTAACTCATTTACAGTTAGCATTTCCCTCACCTCAAGGTTGTTGACTGCAGATTTATTCACTGTATCTAAGCCTCAAGAGACTTTCTTTCCATTTCATAACTCGTATCATACATCTAAATGTTTGTAACTCATGTCAGATGAAATATATAAACACACATATTTCTAATGTTTTGCGAATTAAAATGAAAGATATTTAAGCACACAAACGCACTTTAGTAAAATCGCCTCAGATTGCAGTACCTATTTCTTTGTGTATCTAATTTTTTATCTGATATCTCTATCTTTCTTTTTCTTCTTCTTCTTCTACTTCTCTTTGTTCACTTTAAATAGTTTTGAAGAGCTCCACTGCTTTGCTTAAAGAAACTAGTGTGCTTCAAGGCGCTTTGCTATGTCTATTTCTCTTTCTTTCCCTTTGAATGACCTTCTGTCTTCTTCAAAAGTTACCTTAATCATAGCGGCTGGCGATGATGATGACAATGATCTGACAGTTTCTCAAAAAGTAGTTTCTGCAGTACTCTGTTCTCACACGAACACACACTTATCTGAAGTCCACAAACCGTTTCACTCAAATGGTCTCAAACTAAATCCATCTAAATGTCATACTGTTCGATTCTGATTTCACACCTGAACAAGACTCGAGTGGACCGACTTAATTCCCCCCAATTTCTGTGATATCGACAACACTGTGGTAGAGAGTTAGTTAATCGAATATCTCCTTGTCTCACCATCACTTCCTCTTCAAATCTCTGTTGGTCGTCTCATATCTTGCTGATTTCTGAGAAAATGTTTCGTTTGACTTACTACTACATAAAGAATTTGAGACTTTCTTCAGACTGAACTCAAACAATTTATCAATTGATGTATTCTACCCACTCTACTTTATTATTCACCAAGCCTTTCATTATTCTCCACTGGGCTCCTCAAGGAAGACTAAGTCATATTACGTAGAACACTGAAGACTTGCAGATAGACAGACAGGGAGGGTAAGTGGTGTACCTCTGACTCAACTAACTGATATGATTGTGGTCGATAAGCACTTTAATTCTCCCAATCAACTGGCTAAAGTCTCATCTTATCAGATACTGAATATCCTCTTTATGCACACAACCTTTTCATTGTATCTCTTCGGGTAAAACCAGGTGAAATTACATGAGAATTTGTACTCCTACGGCTACCAACGGCTATAAAAATTCAACCCAACCTATATTTAGCAGAAGTTTTGAGTGCTGGAGAGATGATAAATGTCAGCAGTCAGCTTGTAAACTTTTTAAATGAGTAACTGAATTGCAAAGTATGGTAAGTCTTTGTAGTTTCACAGTTTTTTTTACAGTTTTCTGCATTTATTTGTTTACAAAAGCAGTTAAATTATTGCAATACGTGTAAAATGCTAAAAATTCCATTCTTTTTAATAATAATAATAATAATTAGTGTTTGGAATGTAGTGATTGTGTTATATTATCGTTAGAACAATAAAATCTTTAAAGAATGCACATCTAATATGTACTATAAGTTCATATAACTACAATAATAATAATAATAATAATAATGGCTTAATGGAATACATATATTATATTATATATATGATAAATGACTACTAAGAGACTTTGTATATTCGATTTAAGTAATAAATTGCCTTCTTTTATTATATTAACTGACAGATAATTCATTAACCATTTTACTGGAACGATGAACTAGAGTTGTCATCAATAAAAATGAAGTTCTTAGAAGAGAAAACAATGTCGATACACATCAGTTGTTATATATGTATAAAACATATATATATATATATATAACAATAAAGTCGAGTGGGTAGAAGAATACATCAATTGATAAATTGTAAGACAGAAGAGGTTAGTTGAGTTCTACCAGAAGAAAGTTTCAACTTCTTTATGTAGTAGTAAGTCAAACGAAACAAATTTCTTAGAAATCAGTAAGATATGAGACGACCAACAGAGATTTGAAGAGGAAGTGATGGTGAGACAAGGAGATATTCGATTAACTAACTCTCTACCACAGTGTTGTCAATATCACAGAAATCGGGATAATTTAGTCAGTGCACTCAAGACTTGTTCACTTGTAAGATCAGAATCGAACAGTATGACATTTAGATGGATTTAGTTTAGGACCATTTGAGTGAGATGGTTTTTGTGGACTTTAGATAAGAATGTGCTTGTGTGAGAACAGTGAAGAGCAGAAACTACTTGGCGAGAAACTGTCAGATCATTGTCATCATCATCGCCAGCCGCTATGATTAAGGTAGCTTCGGAAGAATATGGAAGCTGATGCATTTGGAAAGAAAAGAGAAATGTAGAAACTATAGCGCCTTCAGGTTCAGAGCAGTGGAGCTCTCCTAAACAACTAAAAGTGAATGACGAGTAGAACAGGACGAAGGGTAAACATATTAGATAAAAGAAATAGGTATGTAGACAGATACGCAAAACAATGTAAAACCATTTCAAAAAAGAGTGCTTTGGTTACTTTAAGTCATTTAATTTCAATTCGAAAAATATTAGAAATAAATAAATGAATATGTATATATTGCATGTAATATGAATTAGAAACATGTATTCCTTTACGTTCCCAGTGGAACGTAGAGCTTCAAGCTAGAGACTTAAAGTTTCGGTAGCAGTGGTTTTCATTTTTAAGGGATGGGTTTGCTAGCCTCATGCCCAACCTTCCCTCTTTACCAGTCTTATTACTGGCTTAGTGAAGTAAAGGATTGCATTGGCTGCGGATCGAAAACCAGACCACATGAGGCCTGGTTGGCGAGTATTTTACCGCTGTGTCACCAACGCATATACATATATATATATATTTATATATAGAAATTTCCAGAGAAACTTTTAGGTGATATTTCAAGTATATAGAATACTCTTTTTATCACTTATTTTAAACGATCACACTGTGTGAGTGTGGTTTATTCCCAGGGATACCAAACTCAACAAGCAAAGGCGATCAGTTTGATTTGTTTCAAGTCTGACCACGAGCTGACATCAGTTAGAGAACCACCGGAAAACCATCAGGGAGTACTGGACACCTGTTACCTTGTAGTTTGGGTCTACTCCTCTAACGTACACACCTATCAGAGGTCGAATCTATAACCTACTTGTTACAAGGCGAGTTCGTAGACGATTCAGCCATTGGGACCTGATCTAATGGCCAACGGATGAATTTCAACTACTATCAATTCATGATTTTAGGTCGACTGTCACCCAATATCATGGGTGAGTGTTTTTTCTCACGGCCGACTGGGAAGACCCCAAAAGTTACTACTTCTCAGTTGAAATTCAGGCAACTTTGTCCTGAATTGGCAGAAGTTGGAATTCATGAGCCATTGGATCCAGTTCCAGTGGCTAGATGGTCTACAAGCTTACCTTGGAAGCGGTAGGTACTTGGGTATAATCCCGATGAGTGTCACTGCTGAAGAATCACAAACTAGGACGAAACAACTGTGTAGCACTCCTTACCGGTTTCCCAATGGTTTTCTAACTGATATCAATCCGTTGTAGATCTTTAGAAAAAATTAATTTTTAGATACA